TTTTGCGTGCCTCTTTCTACCATTCATTTGTAATTTTTCCTTCGCTCGAAGCTGCCTCGTTCATTGTTCTTTCCATCCATTAACTCGTATGTTCATAATGGCTTGCATTTTCAATTAAAAGAACACAAAAACAAAGATCTCCGTCTCCAGTTATCGGCTTTGGAAATATAAAACGTTTTTAAGACATATGTTTGCAATTAGATTAGTTCTTGAAAGCTCACCTCCAGCAAGAAAGAATTGAAAGGACAAAATACAAAAAAAATTAATATTATGATCATTCTTCGTAACAGAATTTGATATGTAACGGTTGAATTGGTACGATTTTAAGGAAGCGTTTATCATGAAATTTGTGATATAGCTGACAGGAAATATAAGTTCTAAATTTAAAAGCATAATTTCTTATAATACCCCCGGGAAGACAATTACTTAAAACAAACATTTTCTTCTTCTTTTTGATAACTGTCAGCAACAACGATTTAAAAGCAGAATAAGTACAGGATAAAAAAAAAGGACAATTGTTCGTTTATAGTCGATACTAATTGTTAAGTGTTTTCTGTTTAGTTTACCTTACCAATGGAAGGAGTTCCAATGTTTCTTATACAAAGTTTAATGATAAGAGTAGCGGAGAAAACTATCTTTGTTTGTTTGGGGTTTTTTGTTGTTGTTTTTTTTTTACTTTGTTTTCTTTTTTTACTTACTGTTTAAATGTTACTAGGGAAAGAAATAACACCATAAGGTCAACCAACTTGTACATTTTGTGATATATAGATAGATGAACTAGTGCTAGATAGATAGATAGATAGATAGATAGATAGATAGATAGATAGATAGATAGATAGATAGATAGATAGATAGATAGATAGATAGATAGATAGATAGATAGATAAGGAACTGGAGAAATGAGACAAGGTGGAAAAGCTTTATGCGTTAGGTTGGCATCTTTGGATCAGAATGAAAGACAAAACTAAAAAAACAAACATTAACGGCTTTAAAACACACACAGTTTTATCTCTCATTTTGACCTTAATACGCCATCCCGAAACGAGTTGTCAATAGATAGATAGATAGATAGATAGATAGATAAGAAACTGGAGAAATGAGACAAGGTGGAAAGGCTTTGTACGTATAGGTAGATAATTATATAGATAATAATAAACTCCGTAAGAGACTTAGTAATAGATAGATAGATAGATAGATAGATAGATAGATAGATAGATAGATATCAAAGCTGCATATAAAATATATGTTCTTATGGCTTGGGGTTGTGCTTTAGGTATCGAACAATTATACACGTCCTTATGCATGTATTAAATAAAATCTTAAATGTATTTCTTAAATGCTTTAGAGAAATTTAGTAAATGTCAAAAACTTTACCGATGCTTTTTGGCAAGATTTTGGTCTTCCAATTGATACTCGTGCCAAGATTAAGATCAAAAAGTCAAATTTTCTCTGCTCACAGGAACATTAAATTCAAGATTTTTCCACGCACCATATCCCTGTAGAACCTGGATTTAATGTTCTGATTAATAAAATAAAATTATTTTACGTCTTGATACATAAAAATACGATATTTAAGAAGCAGAATTCATCGATATTATTGGGGTTAAACTTGATTATATTTTGTAACTATTGGTAATTTGTCTAATTCGAAATAAATATGGCCGTTAATTAAATTTTAGATGTCAGCAGATGTACAAACGGTATCCTCTCTGTGAACTTTGATGTACTAAATCCTTGTATCTAAATATCTTCTAACTTTTGGCTTTTCTAAATTCAGAGTATAGCGGACTCTTAGTTTCAATCAACTGGGGAATAAGGAGACGAACCGAAGAATCTTGTTTTAGCAGCAACTTCCTTGCCGAGTAGAAAGCTGAAATTAGAAATATCCGTATTGAATAGCTCTGGTTCGATAGGCTCTTCAGAGCTACTAAAATACAGATTGAAAAAAGGCCTGGTTCATAACAGACAGACGAATATGCATGTGTGTGTGTGTGTGTGTGTGTGTGTTGAGTATATTCGGACAGCAGTTATTCATTCATACAAGTATGGTTACAAACCTACGAAATTTCTTTGTTAAGGATATTCTTATATTATTCTTTCTATATTCCGGACCATTTTGCTGGTTTCCGGTGCATATTTATCAATAAATTGTCCAATGATTGATCACTTTCGGCTTTCATAAGCCATTATCAAAGAGTTTGCTTGCGTGTCTGTGAGAGCCTGTGTTCGCGCGTGCATGTTCGTGTGTCTGTGAGTGTCTGAACTTGTACGCGCATATGTGTGTGTGTGTGTGTGTGTGCGTGTGCGTGTGTGTTTGTGTGTGTGTGTGTGTGTTATGTCAGTTTTATCATTTTCAAAACATCTTTTCTTTGCATCTTCACAGGAAAGTTAGTGTTACATTTTTTTTTTTTTTATCAAGGAAGCTTCATTGGTTTTTAATCAAATTCCCATATATATATATATATCGGACTTCGAGGAGAGGAGGAGGGCGAATGAAGAAGCAAGGCGACGAAGTAGAAGAGAGCGCTGTGAACGACCCCCACCCCCCCCGTCTTCCCCCTTCCCTCCCCTGTGAGCACTGTCCGTGACGATTCCACCACCGACTGGGCCTCGCAAGTCATATCAAACATAAACATCAACCGTGAAGATAAACTTAAAAAGATTGACAGAACCCAATACTCGGACACGACTGGGAGCCGACGACGACGACGATATATATATATATATATATATATATATATATATATATATATATATATATATGAAGAAATATAGTCTTAAGGTGTGCTATATTTATGGGTTAAAGTGCTCAATATCAAAGATAAAGCGTGTGTAAATATAAAAGTAAACATTGAAGTCAAGACTTAGAGGCGACGGGCTGTTTCATGCTAGACGCGATCGTCAGGCCTGATGATTGCATCTAACAATGAAAAGTGTGGATGGTTCTGCACGAAGCCTTCACCGCTATAATCAAATCTCATGTGCTGTTGTCGGGCTGTCGGTTTCCTAGGAACTGATCTGCTTGTCATACGTCGAATTCGACGAGAGAGTCGGGTATATATATATATATATATATATATATATATATATATATATGTGTGTGTGTGTGTGTGTGTGTGTGTGTGTGTGTGTGTGTGTGTGTATATGAAATATATATACATATATGGTACATGGGCTGAAGATCAGGCATGAAAGTGTTGCTGCTCTTTGTTGTCCTCAGTGTCCGTTCTGCCAGGTACCCCGACCTGTTGCTCCACGATGTACTTTTGGAAAAACAATCTTTAAATATATCAGGAGGTATGTGCTTACATTTATAATGGTATCGAGATTTGCATTAGCCAATCAGAGGCTGCTTTGCATGCTATCTACAGGTATAATGTCGGCGGCGCGAATTACGCGAGTTTTCCAGTATTGCCACTGCTGCGCATGCGTCGATGTTATACTAAGTTACTTCATATTTAATGTCACCAAAAACACACACACACACACACACACACACACACATATATATATATATGATAAAAATAGCTCAAACACTAATATTCCATGGTTATAATTTATTACATTGGTATCGTAATAACGATCTAATTCATCAGACCTACAAATTCAAAAATTATATTCTTTACTCTGTCCTGGACATTGAGTTCTACCTGGATTCTATTCTCTTGAAATTTATATATATATATATATATATATATATATAAACGCTTTTTTCATTTAATTCAGAAAGTAGATATATTTATTTCTGAAATAGATGTATATATAATGTACATACGTTTTGTATGCGTTTGTGGGTGTGCGTGAGAGAGAGAGAGTGAGATCTGAATTTTGCATCGACATGATGTTCTGGCCTGAAATTTAATTCTCTTGCAAGATCCATTGATAAAAGCTAACGACTTGATTTGTATCGAAGCTGCTGCGTCGATGTTGAAAGAACATCTCGCATTTTAAGCGTCAACGCTGTCAGTCAGCATCACACTGCTAACTCGACAGAAAATTAATTCAGTGATATTTGCAGGACATATATATCTGCGACGACATTGTGAAAAATGCAGAAATAGGTGCGCGTGCACATAAAAATAGAATTCCTTCTCTTTTCATTGGAATTACCTGATTAGAAATTGATATGCCGATTCCGATGGACACAGGGGTCGCACGGGCATTGAATGCTGGCGACAGGAAGAATAGATTTTGGAGTTTTTTTAGAACATCTAGATAACTTTGGTACAAAGAGCAAACTAATTTCGTAACTGGACAAAATAGAGATGCAGAATTGCCCAAATCCTGACAACTTTGCCATCTATGAAGGAATAGGAGAATATCTTTTAGGTTGAGATATAAATAATTCCCGATTTTGCTTATCAACCGTATTCTTCAAAAAATAAAGTACAATTACATTTTATTCAATTAGATATTCGGAATTATTTGTAATGACTTGTTGTATCTTATCAGGTAGCCTTTTGATACCTTTTGAATAAAATTCCACAGGTTTTAATGTAAAAAAAAACTTTAGACAACTCTTGCGTCTAGTTTTCATTAGAGAAAGTTTTTCCCCATCAAAGAGATTTGCAGAAATCAAAAAGGTGATAGTCGGCCGGTACAAAGTCAAGTGAATACGGCAGTTAGGGGTACAACAGACTAACCGAGTTCCGAGATATTTTCCTCTGTTGTTCTTACAGTATGTAGTCTTGCGTTGTCATTGGGGGGGGAACGTTTGTTTTTTAATCAACTGTTGCCCATGCCGTGTAAAACTCTGATGTTAATGTACTCCAAATTTATACTTAACTGATTAAGATGATATATTCGCCATTACAGTTGGTTCCCCAAAACGGAAAGTACTTATGACTCAACCTAATCTATCTATCTATCTATCTATCTATCTATCTATCTATCTATCTATCTATCATATGTCAGTGTACACCATTTAACAGCCACGTATGGTTAGTAGGAAAGATGATATATTCGTCATTACAACTGCCTCCTAAGAACGGAAATTACTTATGACTCATCCTAATCTATCTATCTATCTATCTATCTATCTATCTATTAGTGTACACTATTTAACTGCCACGTATGATTAATAGTTAAGATGTTATATTCGTCATTACAATTGGTTGCTAAAAACAGAAATTACTTATGACTCCACCTAATAATAAAAAGTTAAAAATGTCGAGCAACCAATGAAATTCGAACGCACTATTACTGTTAAGATCTGAAAAATAAGCCTGTTAAATACCACTTTATATGAAAACACCATATGTACATGTATAATGTCTGATGTAATGTCACAAACGTGGAAAACCAATGAAGTTTGATATCGGTACTGTAATAATTGTCTACAAGAATTTCTTGTTAATCATAACTCCATGCCCAGGCGTTACAAAGCTTTTTTCTTACTTAACGAGGATCGAACTTACTACTGCATTTGTGAAATGAAACCCGGATGCCGGTTAAATGACAACACGTGGCGACTAATGAATAACACGAGACTTGAACCTTTCATATTTAACTTTATAGTTTGTTCCACTCCAATACTTCGCCAAATACTCTCTCAGTCAGTGTATCTGGAGCGGCCCCCAGAGCCCTTGTGCTAAACTGATAGTCTGGCATTATCCGGCATTGCTAAACACTGAAGCTATGGCAAGAGGCCCAAACTTATTTATCTCTATCGTACAACTTGGTTGCTTAAATAATCAAATTCTTGATTTACAATTTACATTCAAAATAGATCATAGGAGTTGTTAGGCTTCCAAGCTGAGGAAGATCTGATGTTTTATTGTCCGTTTCGTGAAATTAACTAATTAGTGCCGAAATTAAGCAACGTCGAGCCTGGTCAGCACCGAAATGGGTGACCGCTTGGAAATACCAGCTTGTACGTGCGTGTATTATAATGGATACTGGCTCGGAATTTTTAATCTAAGAACAGAGTCTATTTCCAGTCGGGTTCGTTATGTTCAGTAACCTGTGCAAATACGTTTGGTTAAAGTACGAATCAACCTCTTCTCCCACACCTAACCTAACCTAATCTCTCTATCTATCTATTTATCTATCTATCTATGTTAGTGTACACCATTTAACTGCCATGTGGAATTAGTAGCTAAGATGTTATATTCGTCATTGCAATTGGTTCCCCAAAACGAAAATTATTTATTACTCAACCTAATTAATCTATCTATCTATCTATCTATCTATCTATCTATCTATCTATCTATCTATCTATCTATTATATGTCAGTGTACACCATTTAACAGCCACGTATGGTTAGTAGGAAAGATATATTCGTCATTACAATTGGTTCCCCAAAACGAAAATTATTTATGACTCAACCTAATCTATCTATCTATCTATCTATCTATCTATCTATCTATCAGTGTACACTATTTAACTGCCACGTATGATTAGTAAAGATTATATATTTTTCATGTGGTTCCCCAAACGGAAAATAATTAATAAGACTTGATGTTAATAAACCATCATTATCTAAAACAAATAAAATTCCGTACAAAATGTTTAGATTTCAGCATTAAATAACCCATAGAGCTGTTGATATGCCACTAAACAAAAACCACTAAATAATAAAAGACAACCAACCAATTAATTAATGACCACCGTAAAACCCGATATCAATTATAAAGGTTCGAAATAAAAGCCATAATTAATTATAGGATACCAGTATTCAGAACCGTTTTCTGTTTATAACCCATGAATGACTTATTAACATAAAATAAACTTGCTGCAAAAAATGGAGACTTCTGGTTTTATTTAGAACTATATTCAGCGTATGTGTGGTTAGTGCAACTGATACCGTCACAGAAATCTGTCTCGGCGTTCTGAGTTTAAAATCTTGGCTCGACGCGTTTACTTTCTCGTGAGTCCATCTCTTCTACCCTACTTCATGTATTAAATAGCAGCATAGACTGGCTTCTCTCGTTTTGGGTGGCAAGTAGTCGAGGAGAAGGAAAACTTAAAAATCAAAATCACCCCGAAGACTGAAGTACCTCTTCTGGTTATCTTGCCCAAGATACATTGTCTGACGAGTTATAGGACTAGCAAGTGACCCGTGACATAGCGTGTGAGATTGTTGAATATTTCGAAACGAAATTTCCAATGCTGATTTTTCAACTTAGATTAGAAAATTAGCGCAAAACAATGCTTTATCTTGAAGTAAGCTAAGCTTAATTAATTTCTATATTCATATGTTTTCTTAATTTAGAGCGAACTAGAATAGTTATTTGGATGCATAGCTCAGTTCTGACGCAAGGCCATAAATTTGGAACACCCAGCAAGGATAAATCTCATTACGCAATAGTAGTGATCTGTGATTACAACTTGCTATCCATTAAACTGTAAACATACAACGAGACCCTCATCAGTCTTTTACCGACAGGACATCTCACCACCAGGCTGCGTTCGCGTCAGAGGAAACAAAAACTATTTAACAACAATTAAGCTAGCTCCTGCGGAGGATTCTTGATTGGGCCTTTGGCTTGTTCAGGAATGTGAGAGTCCCTAAGTCTTTGCATCTTCTCAGTATTGGAAGCTCTCTTGGCTGCCATTTGATCTGCGTTTTCATTTGCACGTGACTTTCTTTTCCCCGCTGCAACCCTGACTCTTTTGATTGCAATCTGGTCCTCTGTTGGAAAAGATTTCTTTTTGTGAGGTATACTGCTGCCGTATGCGATAGGCAACAATAAACTAGAAAAGAACTCAAAATTGATCGCTGCATTTAAGTATTGCATTAATATTTAAGCTTACATTTTAACTGTTCAACGATAATTCATCTGCCGCCGCTTAATTTAAAGACAATTTGACGTGTGTAGATCTTTACTTTCCATACGATTATTTTTATTTCATGGGTGACTTTCGCTGGATTTCGCAATTAATTTCTACTATTCCCAAATTTATTTCCACGTTTATCGTACAAAAAAATTCGTCGCAAAAAAAAAAAAAAAAAACATAAAAAATCGCCGAAAATAATTACAGTAAAGAAAACTTGTGAATCCAAAATTTCAGGATTGAGGGTCTGGATCGGGCCCGGAATGTTTTTAATTTGCTCACTGCGTCGGCCTGATTCCAAAATGGTAAGATATGTTGGGCTACGGCCTCTAGAAGAAAAGTTGAAAAAGTGTGACACACTGACATTCGCATTTATTTATATAGATTTATTCAGGGATTCATTTTACACAGTCTGGGAGCGGGGAGCGTGTAGATAAGTGACACTTGGAATAACTTCTGCTACTTCTGATATGACAAAATAACGAATATGTATCTGTTAACGAGCATTCTCTCCTACCACCCCTCTACACATCTCTACATCATAACGCGCGGCTGCCAAGTCTTTTGCAAATTGCTTGAAACTACTGTCTAACGGACTGCCAGGAACTCTTCTAAACGAGAAGCCTGTACCTCGACAACAGGCAGCATCTGAATTACCTTCAATTCTATCTGCAACTGTTTATATAAGCCTACGGCCGGATCTTTCTAACTTTTTGTTCCCGAAAGTTTTCATTTATCTATTAATTTTATTCCCATTTAGTAATTGTGTGGCCGCTTTGTAGATCTTACTTCGTAGGTTTTACTATTGGCCATAAATCATCAGAATCAGATAAACACTTTTACCGCCCACTTCTATATGAAGATCCTGATCCAATCATGTAGAGAACATATAGTTTCATAACAAAATAAGGTAAGCTTAAGTGAATTGCAGTTTTCTTCATTTAATGAAGTGTAGACAAAATAATATTTTAATAAGTTACAAATTTTAAATATTGTCATTATTATTAACTTTTTAATATTTTTTCCTTAATTTTACTTGTTTTTTTTTTTGTTTTTTTTTATCGCAACTGCAGATCGTTTTTCTACGACCTTTAATGAATCAGTGTGGATAAAAAAAAAAGGACCCCAGCGAGATTTAGTGAGAATTCAGATTTTCACCAGAAGTGTATATCTCATTTCTTATCCATACTGAGTGTTTAACGATCGTAGAATAACGATCTAGCAGTTGCGACAAATGAAAAAAAAAAAACACGAAGATTATGGAAAAATCATGTCAAAGATTATTTTTTTAAAGTCTATGATTTTCCAACGATTGTATAGCGTACTGGTTATGCCATTCAGTATCTAGAAAATATCACAAATTAATTGCTAGAAAATAATTTATCTTATGATGTCCTGATTTACGTGAAATTCTGTCTGGGCCATTGGCAAAAGTGAAATCATGACCTGACAAGATCAATTGCTTTTTCTTGCACAGATATTCATAGATTAAAGACTCGAGTAAATTAAACAAGAACTGTTTACATTCCTAATAGGATTTCTGAAGACCGATATTCGCCATCGATTTCTTAATCGGCTGCGAACGAGATTAATCTTAAATTTCAGGCCGTAGACATTAATTCCAAATGTTTATCTTGAGGCTGTTTGCGGGTCGATAAAAACTGGACAGTTTTTTTTTTTAATATTAAATTAGTAAATAAGATTCTCTAATTTTTTTTTTTTAAATTTCTGTCTTTAGGTTAGTGTTCTCACGAACAATCAATATACGAGTATAATTTTCAAAATACAAACATCCACGAACAATAGATGAGTTTATTCGATGAGGCAAACATTTACATAAGTGATTCATGAACGCAATTATAATTAACATATTCTATATTCAAGTTTTTTTTTCAACTGCTGTTCAGAAGCAGGTTGTAATCATTTAATTCTGATCATGAATCCCATAAGAAAAGCTGAATTTAAAAGTTTATCTGTCTATATTTCTGAGATATGGTATTGTATCTATCTACATTATTTACATTTGTTCGGACTGTTGTCCTCATCTTTGTTGTTATGTTCACAACGTTTCATGACACACAGCCCAGTGGATAAAAGCGTTGGCTGAAGTAATCCAGTGACTTGACCCCAAAAGAGTTGTGAGTTCAATACCCGGCCACAGCAGAGGTAAACAAAAACTTGCAAAGTTGAGTTACTAAGGGAAATAACTGAAACTGAACAATCTACCCCGGGTGGACGAAATAAAGGGTCCAGTTCGAAATTCCAATCACCGGAGGAAGGCCGGGGCATACAACGGCCGAAACGTCGTGAATATGACAACAATGATGGGGACAACAGTTCGAACACTGTAAAAAACGTTAAGAGTTTATCCGTGTAAAATCCGTGATATCGAAACATGAGACCATCAGAAGACAGACATAACTAATCCATGCCAATCATAATGAAGATATTGCGTTAACTCAATATTTTCATTGTGATTGGCGTGGATTAGTTACGTCTGTCTTCTGCCGATCTCCTGCAATTGATTTTTGTTTTCCATGAAATAAGAGACAGGATTTGGAAAAGGAGAAGTACGGATTCTTTTTTTTTCTATTTTTTCCTGCAGAATTCACTTTTAGTTCAGTGTTTAATTGGGATTATGTTTATAAATACAGTTATAATGTTAAATATCCAAGTGGCTAGATCGTTACCGTTTATACCACGCGACCGAGTTCGAATCTTATCACGGTCAATTTGTCAAGGTGGTAACTCCTTGATAATATGGGATCTGGAGAGTGTTTGAAAACCATATCACGGTGTGACCCAAGCCTTATGTGTGAATTTGGGTAAGGGGCTTGGAAGTCGTCGATGTTTGTGCAGAAGAGGACACACACTTTGGAAAAGGTATGAGTCCTTTTCATCTCCTGCATTTGTGCGAAAATGAGCGCAGTAGATTCGGCCGGAATTTGAACTCGGCTCGCTGCTTCCACTTTCCGCGCCGATATTCGGTACGCTACTCACACATTAATACATTCTTTCATTTTCGATCTCTAAATTATTATCCATTTCTGACCCTTTACTATTGTCTAATTGCTTCCCCTCTCTCTCTTCATCTCATTCTGTTTTCTCAACTCCCTCTCTCTCATCTCATTTCTCCATTTTAATTTTTCTCAACTTTCTAGTTCTCTTTTTGCTCACTCTCTCTCACTCTATCTATCTCTTTCTCTCTCTCTCTCTCTCTCTCTCATATCGATTTTACTTCCTCATTCTCTCTCACACATCTTATCCCTCTCGTTTCTGCTTCCTCTGCTTCTCCATCTCTTACTAATTTTACTCTTTCTTCTCTCTCTTCCTCTTTTTTTTATATATATATATATATATATATATATATATATATATATATATATCTCTTTTTTCTCTCTCTTCTCAATTTCAATCTTGCTTTCTAGCTCTTTCTTTCCCTCCCTTCTTTCTCTTTAATCTCTCCATCTTTTTCTCCCTATCGATTTTTTTCGTTTCTTTGCCTTCTCTTTTTCCTGGGTTTCCGCCATCATATAGCCATATCTTCCGCCATCTAAAGAAGTACATCAGGTTATCTTCCGGTCAGGTCAGTTGTTTTGTTTTTTTCTCAGAAATCTCAGGAAAAACTGGAAAGACTGCATTTCTCAAAAATGGCAAGTATGCTGAATATCGGAGCATAGATGAGATTTGATGTTACTGTTTCTCGACAGGCCTGCTGCTCTATAATAATAATAATAATAATAATAATAATAATAAAACAATTTATATGCAACAGTTTCCAGCATTCTTTTAAAAACTAGTGACCGAATGTGCAATTAAAAACTGGGTTCTTTCTTGAAACATCTGCATATATATATATAATATAATATATATATATAATAATAAACATCTTCTTGGAAATTATCGAGAAATTGTCCAAATCGAAGGACCTGGGGATCGAGATTAACAGGATGTTGAGAATGAAGACTGAGACTGTACCAATAGTAATCGGAGCTTTTGGCATCGTAAGAAAATGAATGAATAATTTTACTAACCAACAAACAAGTTACCCATCGCCCTACAAAGGAACATCCCATTACATGGATAAATTATCACTATCAACTCTTCCTCCATATTTCAATCTTGCTTTCATGATACAAAAGCAGGGAACATAACATACAAAATAATAATAATAATACTAATAATAATTTAATAATAATAATAATAAAAAGCCTCAGGTCATAATGAAAAAACCCACACAAATCACTCTTAATGCTCGTTTAATATGATCTTTTTAAAACGAGTTCAAAATTCATCGAACAGAATTATTCCATCTATCTACAGAATATTGCAATGGAGGAACGAGAACCAAAAAATTACAACCAACAAAGCATAACCTCAAAACTATTAAGCTCTTTTTTCTGTTAAATCTCAATTTTGCCAACAATCAGCCTGAACATCTAAAAAAGGCAGTCTCACAGACATGAAGATCCACCTTCCCTGGGTTTCAGGAATGAAAAACGAAGTCCTTCAACAAAAGAAAAAATAAAGCAAACAATACAACTCAAAGAATATACGAGAAAAGATCCTATATCTTCAAACCGATGCAAAGAAATTTTACGGGAAATAGGTAAACATCAGTAAAATGGAAGAAGTACATACAGTTCTGGGGAAAAATATGGGCTTGCCTTCCAACGAAGTCAGATTGGATTGCAGTTAGAACGAATTAAACCAGAACAGACATGTTTTTTTCTCACACAACTGAAATCTCAGGAAAATAAAATTCCTAACTGGAAATTTAAATACAGCACACAAAAAACTCGCCAAAGAACTGCATTTTCTGGATGACCAAAAACCTTTCTTCTACCCAAAAATAGCAAATATTCCGAAAACTATAGACCAATTATGTCTTCCAACAACATACAAACTGTTAATATTTTAACAAAACAGACATATTTCTTCTTGGAAGAAATGACATACTAGATGAAACGATTTGATGTTAAGACCAATTACTTATTAATAGGATGATCCTGGAAAACTTTCCGTGGAAAAAAAAATCTTAGTATTTCATCGACAGGCCACATTCCTGGATCTTAAAGTCTTTTAGTATGTACAAGGTATCACCCGTTATCATCAATTTCATCAAACAATGTATGTCGATATGGAAAACTAAATAAAAAAAATGTGTCCTAAGGTATAATCAATCATAAAAATGGAACCAGAATAAGAGAATATTTCAAAGGTGACTCTTTGTCTCCCTTTATTAATAATAATGCGGTTAAAAATAGCTCAAAAGAAAATAAACCATCTATTTTACATGGATGATTTATATGACAACAGTTTCCAAACATTCTTTTTGAAAAATTCTTTGGATAAATGTGACCGAATGATCGCACAACAAACTTCCTCTATTAAAAAAGTACCTGGTTCTTAGTGCGTAAAAGAGTACTATAGAAGGGTACGACTGGTATTAAAAACTGAATTGAATTCTCAGAACAGAATTATGGCCAAATAACATCCCAGTGGTCCATATAACTCTAAATGACATCATACAAATGGATTCTAAAACAAGAAAAGCTTCTTTCTAATAATAATCATCCAAAGGCTAATAAACATCTTCTTGAAATTATCGAGAAGACAACAACTTTGGCTTACTCCAAATCGAAGGACCTGGGGATCGAGAACAACATTAACATTTAGTATGTTGCAGAAAGATATGAAAAAGACTTGAGATGAAACTGTACCAATCCAGTAATCGGGTTACGAGCATCTGGATAAAGTCTGAAACTGAAGGCATTCGTGCAGAAAATGAATGAATTTTCAATTTCATACTAATAATGTGGATCCAAAATGCAGGTTCTGTGACAAATACAGAAACAATAGACCATCTAATCTCAGGATGTTCTATACAAACAAGGACAATTTTGGAAAAATGTGTAAGAAACACTGGAAGATCGCCCGGTTACAGAAATAGGAACATCCTATATACATGGAAAAATAAATAGGCCGGAAAAAACCAGAAAGAAAAAAATTGCCTACTAATTGATATGAAGCGTCTTGTAACATCACTATCAAAATACAAAGACCTGGAAATTAAAAAATGTGGATTGAAAACAAGAATAATACCAGTGGTAATAGGTGCACTTGGAATTATAAAAATGGAACAAAACAACACATTGAAAGAATCCTGAAACCCCAATAAGAGACATACAGAAAATTGTCTTAAGGACCATAGTTTGGATCTTGTCTTTTCATGAGATAAAAAAAAAAAAAAAAAAAATTAACAGGAAATGTGGCCATAACAACATTACATTCCGCACAAAATAAAATAATAATAATAATGATAATAATAATAATAATGATAATAATGATAATTACAAGAGACGTGACTGGAGAAAAATAGCGATATCAGTTAAAATTATCCAGAACACACCAGTGATAGGGTATGTGAAGATACTGAAGAAGGTGTTGGAGATTTTTTTATCTCTCTGCTCTCCCCCCCCATACACTTAGAGTGAAGATGCATATGCATGAAATACTACTAAATAAATTTTAATTTATTGAAGTATTAAGGAAAATTATTGTTACTTAATCGCTAATGAAACCCCCAGATAATACGGTTAAATAATAATAATAATAATAATAATTGTACTCACGAATACAGCCCACACCTTACGAAGGGCTTTATCTATGTAAAATATGTTTGTGTTTTTGTTTTGTTTTGTTTTTTAATTGGTCAGTGGAAAATGTCATGATGCCATTTCTAACCTTAGGTTTCTGGGCGGGATCCGGAAAGAAATGAGTACACACCAGAAATCAAAGGAAATAAAATAATAATAATAATAATAATAATACATTTTTATTAAAGACCACAAAAAAAAGTGCCTCCTTATTGATATGGCAGTCCCTGCAGACTGCAATGTATCTTTGAAGATATTCAAAAAGCTGTCAAAATACAAGGGCTTTGAAATAGAAATCTCAAAAATGTGGCACATGGGAACATCAACAATCCCTGTTGTAGTTGGAGCCCTAGGATTGGTTGGAAAAGATTCCAGTAGATTCATTGAAAGGATTCCTGGAAGCCCATGCCTTAAAGAAATACAAAACAATTGTTCTCACAAGTATAGCCCACACTTTACAAAGGGCTTTATCTATGTAACTTTTTTTTTGTCAGTGGAAAGTGTCATGATGCCATTTCTAACTAAAAGAAATGTGTAAACGCCAGAAATCAAAGATAATAATAATAATAATAATAATGTTATTAAAGACCACAAACAAAAACGGTGCCTCCTTATTGATATGGCAGTCCCTGCTGACTGCAATGTATCTTTGAAGATATTCAAAAAGTTGTCAAAGTACAAGGACCTTGAAATAGAAATCGCGAAAATGTGGCATATGGGAACATCAACAATCCCTGTTGTAGTTGGAGCCCTCGGACTGGTTGGAAAAGATTCCAGACTAATTGAAGGGATTCCTGGAAGTCCATGCCTCAGGGAGATACAGAAAATTGTTCTGACAAGTACAGCCCACACCTTGCGAAGGGCTTTATCTATGTAATCATTTTTTTTTTTTTGTCAGTGGAAAGTGTCATGACGCCGTTTCTAACCTTAGGTCCCTGGGCGGGACCCGGAAAGAAATGTGTAAACGCCAGAAATCAAAGAAAATACAAATAATAATAATAATAATAATAATAATAATAATAATAATAATTGAAGCAAATAGGACGGACATAATTGTAACAAAAAAACTGAAAAGAAAAACTTGCCTACTAATTGATATGGTTTGCCCAGCGGATTGTAACATAGCAAACAAGGAATTTGAAAAACTATTAAAGTATAAAGAGCTGGAAATCGAAATAGAAAAAATGTGGAACTTGAAAACAAGAATAGTACCAGTCATAGAATGTACGTTTGAAGGCGCGAATGATAAAAAAAAAAAAAAATGGAACACAGCAATATATTGAAAAATCTCTGGAAATCCAAATTTCAGAGAAATACAAAAGAATAGAAGAACTTTGCCCATGTAACGCTAGTGATGTTTATGAGAATTAGAAAAACAAATCATGAAATGTAACCATAACAAGGCAGGTAATGGTGTGTTGTTAGGGTTACATTTCATAACAACACACCACTACTTGCCTTCGGTCTTCCAGCAGACTTGGTAGGTAGTGTAACCATAGAAGAAATCGGATAATAATAATAATAATAATAATAATAATAATAATAATAATAATAATTATTATTATTATTATTATTATTATTATTATTATTGTACTCACAAGTACAGGTCACACATCACGAAGAGCTTTATCTATGCAAAATGCATGTGATCTT